CTTTGAGTCCAGGAAATCAGGAAGTGAGCTGGTTTTCCCTAGTACTTGCAGAAGAGGCACTGGGATGAGGACCCTTCTGGACAATGAGTTTGTTTGACACGCCGAATCTGGTAGAGACGTGTTTCAGAAGGTTCCTTGACTCTTCGCGGCTGCCTCAAAGATGGGAAGGGGCCTGTTCCGGTCCGAATCGGGTCAGAAATTCGAGCACTGCAGATGCCCATGCCAAAGCACAGGCAGAACTGCCGGCAACCCCCCACCGGAGCTTCATCCAACGAAAGCTGCTGGTTCTCGTGGAAATTTGGCCGGCCCACTCTTGGGATAGATATCCTCATGACCTGCCCACTGAAAGAATGTCAGGGAATATGGAGACTGATGTCAACATTGGGGACCTTGGTTTCACGCGTAGTCCTGGAAGCAACCTCCTTAAAAGCCACGATTTCAACCTGTGAACCCCCGACCAGGCACCCGGATTTTGCCCAACACACCCAACACACTCGCCCTCCAAACTTGCCAGGCGCGCAGATGTCCTAGCGGCGCGGGTGTCATTCCTTTGAAAGCAACCGCCCAGTCAAAGTCTGTGGACCCGTGTTTTCCCACGGGAAAGCTTCGGATTTGAGGACTTGACCCGAGTAAATTGGTTGGCACATTCCTCTGATCCGTGCTTGGGGCAATGCAAGCAGGCTCCAATTCGGCATGGAATTGGGGCAAAGCGGGCTGCGCAAACCCAGATGCAAACTCAGGCACATGGGTTTGTCTCCAAAAAGAGGTTCTCGCAAAATGGGTGGTCTTCCTTTGGTGTTCCTTCAAAACGGCCCCACAGACATGATCACGCAAGGCTTGAGCAGTTGAGAAAACGTGGGCCGCATAGTGGCATGGATTTCCAGCACTTCTTTTGGGAGGAAGAGCAATTACTGCCTTGGCCGTGACCATGAATGCTGGCGCGGCCCGAGATACTGTGCATTCATGCTGCCCACGTCTAGCGCCAGGTCCAGATTAGGCTCGAAGCTCTGTTGGTTGGGTCAGAAGTAAAACCGAAAGGACAGACCATGCCCATTTTGTTGTGGTGGACATTCTAATGTCGTAGCTGTCTCCATGCTACGACCTGGGCGTGGGGAACGGGGGCGCCACAAGTGATTGACCAATGCGCATGACACGCTAGCAGTGATAACCATTGGTTTCACAACTCGTTGTGGCTGATGGGAAAAGTGTTTGTTGTTGTGTTTTTTTTCTTCAGCATACTCTCGACTCTCATCCTACCCCTCAACCCCGCAGCCCCGCAGCCAGTCACTGTCAGATAGATGTAGTGCCACCGCGGGTTCCTGGCGCCAGACATCGCGTGGGTCCTTGTAAGAGCAACTCTGAGTACGGTGTCGTGTTTCGAATCTCAGGCTGCGGGAGTCTGACGCTCGTCTTGGGGGGAAACCTGTCAGTGACTTATGAGTACATGTCGAGTGGCTGGGATCGAAAGGGGTCCAAGACTGCAAGAAAGAAAACGTATTGTAGCGGCGCAGTTGTCTATCACTAGGATCCCATGGAAGTTTTGGAGGTCAAAAGGCAAATGAGGGACCCCTGCTCAGGTGAACCTTTGTCTCATCATAGCAGACCTGGAATAACAGGACATTTTGGGAACAACAACTACTTGCCGATTCACTTTGGCCAAAAAGCCAGTGTCACCGAGGTCTGCGAATCCGCCGGTCAAGGAAGGTCGCTGGATTTAGGCCCCTTAAACAAATCCACCAATGGTTCATGATCCCAGAACTCCAGTGGAGTTCCATGGGGAATTGTTGTTTCGCCTTTCTTGGTATGTTGGAGTGGGAAAGGTTTTAATCACTTTCCCAAAAACACAGGGAAAAAGGGGACCGGACCGGGTAGATCAAGGCTTTACCAAGCCCAGGCCAACTCAACTCGGCCGGCAGGGCTGAGGAGGCTCCCGGTGGGAGCTGCCGCAGCGGTAGAAGCTGACTGCCTCGCAGCCGAAAGTGGTGTTGGAAGGGAAGGCCAAAACCTCAACTTCGGAGTATTTTGAGACACATCCAAATGGCTATGGGTCAAAACCCCAGTGCCCCGGTGAACACCCAGAAAGCCTTCAAAAAAGACAACAGTGGAGTGGACACCATTCCCAAAAAGGCACCTTAGGTTTTGACCCACATCCAAATTTGTCTTCCCATTGCACCATACGGAAAACCCTGTGAAACAGCCGTGAAACAAACAGGACTTGGTCATTCCGAAAGAGGCACAGATCAGGAGCACGCATCAGGATGCCTGCCGTGATTTTTAGGGAAGCCACCATGTTATAGTATACGTAATCATTGACGTCGTCGCCAATTCCCGCGAGGGTACGGATTTTTGTGGGGCGAGGAAAATGGGCGTTGCCCCTCGATTTGCTTTCTTTAGTTGCCAACCCACAACAGCTGGGCCAAGTCCAAAAACACATCAGTCTCATGGGTCAACAGCCACCGGAGCTGTGGGTACAAAGTATTTCGCACGGGAAACGGATGCTGACCATACAACAAAGCCATTTGTGTTCAAAAAACTCAGCCCAAACCCGGTGGAACACATTGCTAATTGAGCTGTGTTTTCATTCCTTTCATCCTTGTTTTGCAAAAAAACAAATCTTCAAACTGCTTCTGGGGGGCGGGGGTCGGGCGGATTAGCCTCCGAGGTTCAAGTGGCTCTGAGGCTCTGACTCTTCCGAGTTGCGGCGTCTGGAGCAGAGGCGTCCTTCGGATTGCGCGCCAATGCGTACTTCGGACGCTCCAGTCAAAGCATCGAACAACCCAACGGCTTGTGGCTGACATAGTGACTTGACGAGGGGGTGCAACAGCGCAATTAGTCGTAAAGTCACAAAGCGTCGGGTCATACGTCAATTGAGGATGCTTGAGCCTGAGCACCAGCAACCAACTCCCAGTGCTTGGCAAGCCATAGCCAACTAGAGGAACACATCCATGGTAAAAAGCCTAAAGGCAAGGAGTTCCTGGCTTGCCTGGAAGCAATGGTACAGCATTCAGCTTTCTACCCCCGCGATATCTCCGCAAGCACGAAATCTTCCCATCTGATCTGTGAATGGCTTAGGGAGGAAAGCAGAAGAGTTCTTAGAGCCGTTTGGAAAATGGTTCTGAGAACTTTCTTGGCGGGTAGCTAAGGGGCCCGATATCTCTCCTTCCTACTCTCAAGCAGCGCAGCTGAAAGCGAAGTGAGGTTCGCACTGCTCTCGCTTCATGAGCCATGCACTCGAAACAAATCCCCGGTGAGCCAGTAAGAAAAAGGGAACCGCCTGCCGGGCTTTTCCTTTTGAGTGGAGAAATCACCAAACACAAAGGGAACACGGGCGTGGAAACCTGGTGCCTCGTGCAAGAAAGGCCTGAGCTGGAAACGGTCCAAAATGGAAAGGAAACTGATCAGGATCATGCGTTTACCTTGCTTTCATCTTGGGATTCGGTCTGGCCCGAACCAATCAGACGCGGAAGACAAGCTCAAAAAGGGCCAAGAAACCTGAAATCCTACCCGAAGAAGCATTTCCTTGATCATGAATCCCCATTCAGCACCCAGTTCACTTCCCCATCGTAAATCCGCCAACCGCAATGACACAAGATTCGCTAGTGAATAACAGACCAAAAAGACATCCCTCCCTGAAGCTGTATAGGGAACCACCTAGAAAATCCAAATGGAAACCCAAATTGTCACGTCCCCGGATCCGGTCCTTCATCTTGCAGGGATGCTCCAAAAACGCGATTTGTACGCGGGTAGAACTCTGGCCAAGGCCAACCAACACAAAGCACTTCTTCTACCCTTGTGGTTAGGTCATCTTTCCCAATGCAACGACATGCGTTTGACTCTGGTTTGTCTTTAGTGAACTTTAAATGGCCATGGGTCAAAATTCCATACCCCCAGTGAACATCCCAAGCCCCCCTATGGACTAAAATGGGTGGTGCACCTACCCCAAAATGGTACCATTGGTTTTGACCCACAGCCGAATATCAAAAAGTGGGACGAAGCAACCGCACACCCGTGCGCCCGCTCTCCTCTCCGGAGGCGGGGGCGGTTCAGCTGGAAGAAGCTGTAGGAGATCTACCTCGCAGGTAGACTCGTAGACGAAAGTTGGAGTTTATTCAAAATGGACCGCTCTCATACCTGGGCTGCCCTCAGATACCCTGCTAAAAGTTGAGCTTTTGGTGGGTTAAATGGAAACTACCACTAAACACTGAAAAGCTAAAAGGCTAAGGGGATGGCTGGGAGCCACCAAGCTGTTTGAAGACCCTCTGTGGGACCCTCCTTGGAGATTCTCTTTGCTCACCCTTTTTGAACATGTGGCGCTCCCTGGAAGAAACGATTGTGGACGACGTCAACGTGGATTCCAACCCCCATGACTATAAGCAGTTTAAATGTCCTAGCTCACAAGCTCGAATAAGAGGCTCACATCTACAGCTTCTATGCCAGGTGGCGAGCTCAACAAAACCCCAAGGTGAGCCCGCCATCAAATGACATAGGCAGATCTTTGCCATCACCCGCCAAAAGGACACGTGTGAACAGGATCAGCTTGCGGCCATCCAACTGACATGACAAAGAGCAGGCATACCATGATGCACATGTCTCCTTGTTCCCGAAATTTGATCCAAGCCGGTACATTCTCCTTAATTACTAGAAACATTCAGCCCATTCAGCCTTAAACATAATCAGTGAACAAAGCGATGCCGGCATTTCGACCGCAGGCCTACGCCGAGCTTGGGGCCGCGGCATGGGAAATCGCCGACAGCATCGGCAGGCTGAAGGCTGCCGCGGTGACGCCAAGCCTCCGGCCAGGGCGCTCTGCTGGTTCACTCACTTCCCAAGTACTTGCGTGGATCGGAGTCGGCAAGAGTCCAAACGTCTTCTCTGCCGCGAAAATGGTCTTGAAGAACATTTGAGTTGGACTAACTGGGGAAGCGAGTTCATAGTTCATGCTTGGCACCGTCTCATGCGAGCCGCAGCCAAACTATGCCTTTGGTTCCCCAAGGGAAACATGGCGCTCAGGTTGTGTTTCTCTGAATATTTTGGGTGGTCTGCTGGAAGCACCAACGATTGGCATTGGGCAAGTATGCCAAGTCTTTTTGGTCTGTAGGACAGGAGGATGTTTGGGCCCGTGGCCCTACCGGCTTTGGTTGAAGATGTGGGTGGCCTAAATGCGCATTTCGGTGATTCCCAAAATGGGGGGGGGTTTCCACCAGCGCGGCTCCCTTGCTGGGCCACGAGCAGTCGAGGAGATGTCTTTCAACATGATAACCCCCAAACGCACCTTTTCGCCCAGACATGGAAAAGAAATAGCTTCCCGACTCCAAAAAACCAGAAGGAGAAAGGCACCCTGCAGGTCTGGGAGCACTATGAAAGCGAAGGCTCACCTGGCACCGCCCCCTTGATCTAGCTGATGAGCCCATGCCCCCTGAACAGGCGCAGGTCCCTCAAACGATTGTCCAAATCCTATGGGAAAATGATGGATTCTGATTAAAACTAGGGTTGACGAGGACGGGAGATCAACCCTTGCTTAGCATGGTTTTCACGGGTCCGTGTTGGGGTGGCAAAAGTTCCAAAACCAGTTGTCATAGCCCAGTTGTTCAGTGGAACTCTTTTCAAATTCTGTTTGGTGGCTTCCCGACTAAGAATAGTCAACCCAAAACAGGCTGAACAGTTCTCCTTGGACCAACAACAGCGAGGCCCTGCCAATTGCAACTTTTGAAGAGATCTAGTGAGCCCGAGTTGGTTTGCAGGAGCAACCCCAGTGCAAACAAAGACAACCTGAACCCCTTCTGGCCGCAGTAGCTAGGTCCTCCAGTGGAGAGCTTCGAATAAGGGTGCCCACTTTTTCATGTTTGTCTATTTTAGTAGGGGAACCCTCCCCTACCAAAGGGGAGAGAAGGGCACGACTGGGGGACCCAGGCAGTGCTGCATATTTTCCAACCACTCGATCACGGACGCAGCTTCGATCTGAGCCGCCCGGCAGAAAGGCCCAATCCCAGAGCCCGGGGTACTTCTGATGCTCCGGCGGCCAATGGTTGTACCTCTGCGTCTCCGAAACGGGGGAAAAAAAAACACCCCGGCAACAAAACACCCAAAAAAAGGGAAAACAAAACACAAAAAAACAAAGAACAAAACCAACAACACCCTGCTAGCCGAAGGGGCCTTCCTTTTGTTCTGCTTTATGTCAACGTCGCCCAAAGGACAAGCCGGGAAAAGGGAAGAAGGAAGCTATCATAGGGGCCGAGCGCAAATTTCGCCCCGAGGAACGGGGACTTTAACCTCAATAAAAGTCACTCCCATGTATATCCTGGTGTCATGACCCTCAAGCATTTCCCAACGGCCGAGCCTGGTTATATCTTGCAAGCATCCAGCGAAGCAAACATGCAGACAGGGGAACACCGCGCAAACCTGCACCTGACAAATGAACATTAGATGTCAATTCTGTTCGTTGAACATCTGTTTGGGATACAGGAGAGTAACATCCATCGGTCTTACAACAAGTCGTTTCTCGGAAAGAAAAAGGTCAAGTTTTACATTGTGGCTCCAGTCGCAGGGATTCCACCAGACAAACAAGCAAAGAAGCTAGCATCTTGATGGCGATAAGGCCAGCATATTGTAGGCGTGGAGTCAGGGTGAAAAGTTGCAGGAGCTTCATCACTCATTCAACATGATCGGACGAACTCCCTTCAACATGATCGGCTGCTCAGCTTGTCCATTCTTGTTGAAAGCTCCTTTAAAGAGTGGATGGCTCAAAGAATGTTCAAACTTGGTGTTTACATTTCAACACTCTTCTCAAAAAGAACAAACTCCATTAACTCAGACAGTGAGGTTGAAGTAAGTCTAAGCTTCTACGTTCCACCGAGGACAAGTGAGCCGGAGCTTGATGGCCCTTGAAAGCTCGCAGTCAAGCCACGGTCTGCTCACTGTCCTGATTGACAACTGAAAGTCGAGATGTGAAAAACTCATCTCTAGGCTTAACGACTTCAAAATGGCTTTGTAACTTATTAAATTGTTTCGCCCACTCAGTTCGGGATCCCTGTTGGCCCGCAACACCTGTCATCCAGCATTCTCCACTAGTGACCAAGGCTGCCAAAGGCAACTGCTTGAATCATTGGCGGCGCCACCCAGCAAACTTTCGCAAGCCCCGGTGCTGAATGGCTCGGCAAAAAAGAGGGAGTCCCTTTGATTTCCTTCAGACTTGGGCAAATGGTAAGAAAATATGGGCTACCAAAGAGGAAGTGCTGGAAGTGACACACTTGGGGGATCCTGTCTGTCCGGGTCCCCGCACCATCCATGCACCAGGCACAAGCAGTTCAGACAGACTGTCACGAACCAGGTGCCTGGGCTGTGCATCTTTGGGACTCCGGATCCCCAGGGGTATCCTCAGCTGCAGCCCTCCCTTGCAGTAGCTCTTCAGAAGCTATCCTGCAGGAAAAAAACACGCACAATGTGTATGTATAGACTCGCAAGTGTGCCGCAAGGAATCACAAGCCAGCTGCTTACACGGCAGAGGCTGAGAAGTTGGTCCTTAAATGAGCGGGTCAGTATCCTCAGTGACATGTGCATGTCAACCCACTGTCAACCTCGCTCATACGGATGTCAAAGCCAGTCGGGGACGCTTTGGCTGAAATCATGTATCAGGGGACATGTGCCAAACATGTCGTTTGAGCGTGGTCCCAATCCAAGCAACTAGCCATGAAAAGGCGGGGGTGCGCAAGCGTGGCGGTTTTTCTGTGGAAGCCTCAAACATCAGGGTCGGTGCGGAAAGGCGGCTTCCGATTCCGGTCATCTCAATTGGACACGGACTGTGGTTGGGCTAAAGCGAAGAACTTTCATGAAGGAAAACCGAGCTGGACCATGGGAATGTGTCAGGAATCTGGTTTGGTTTTGGAACTCGGGAAGGACACAGGAAAAGCAATCGGAGTGCCTTTTGGTTCAATAATGGCGGGTGACACCTCCCATACCTGACAAACCTGCTGAGATGTAAGACACCCTGCTGAGATTATTGATTCTCTTTGTGTCGTGCACAGGTCTGCCACGAATACGTGTGAAGTCAAATAACCATCACATTGTCCTGCTCAACAGGAACAAGCGATTGAACACACGATCAACACAAGTTGATCTGATGAGTGCATTCCATTCCTTGTCTTGCTTCCATATAATTACCCTGTCCCACACCCTGGTAGAACAAAACAAAGACGACTGCACAACCACAATCTGGTAAAGGGGTCTATCGTAAATTTGTCCTGGTGTGTGTGCGAACATGCAGCTCGTCGTGGCTGGGTCTACCACCATTCCCATGGACAAGGATCAAACGGGCGAAACAAGCGCACCAATTTGTGGCTCAAACAAACTGAGATGTAAGCTTCGCTTTTTGCTTGCAATTGCTCTGCTGCGTTTCCCCTTCAAGCATCACCTCACCAAAAAAGAAGCTCACTCTAAAGGGAGCCTACAGAACCGGGCGCATAGGGAACCAACAGCTTGGAGTTGACCAAAAGCTTGGACACTCACCCGGCCCCGCTACGCACGGTCGGGAACCAAACGCGCGTGTTTGGTCTGCGAACCGCCCAGCAAATGCTGAACATCAAGCCCAACAGAAAAGACGCAGAACCCCCCCGCCCTCCCTCGCAGTTTGGGCTGGAGATTGCAAAAAAAAACAAACAGATACCTCCCCCAACAAACATGCCAGTGCATGGCCCTTTTCCAAGAACACAGAGGTCTTCCAAAAGGGGACTCTTCACCAAACCATATTTGCGGGTAAGCCTATGGAAGCTTGAACAGCTTGCTGGTGCGATAGGTAGGGAATGAGGGAATGACCCCTAGAAAACCCATCCTTTATAGTTTCCTTCAAGGCAATCCCAAAACGGTTCATTCCCTCATTCCCTACCTATCGCACCAGTTTGAAAAAAAAACGCGCGCGCGGAGGTTCCCCCCCCGTGAAGCACCCAGGCTTGGGATGCCCGGCTGAGCACCCAGTGAGCCCACACCACGCTGCTGAAGGGCAGCAAGGACCTCGGCAGGCTTCGCCGAACTGCGCGCTTCGAGGACGGAGGGTTGTAGTTGTTTGTTCAAAATGGATGTGACCCTCCTTTTTGTGGGAGAAATCACTCACAACTTGTGCAAAGTGGTTGATTCCACTCTCCAAGACTGCTTGATCGCTTGAAATCCTCTTCGTCTCAGGAGAAGGGACCCTATTGGACAAAGGCCCAATTTCCCAATCATGCCATACTCGCATCACAATCACAACAGGGTCCGTCACAACACCCGAGCTTTGTAAAGCCCTCAACTTGTCCAGAGCGGAGGCAACCACAGACTTTCATCAAAACCTGAACATGCCCGGATGGCAAGAAGGTAAGCCACTCATCGCTTGCACGGTAGATGTACATGGCACCGCTTGGTTAATCAAGAGGAATGGAGTCAAACCCCCAAACAGATCACACCTTTCTTACTTGCGATTCATGAGGTAGCTTTGAAGGGCTCCTATGAACGCCAGGATCTTCTGTAGGGTCAACAAAGGTTCACCCTGAGGGTCAATTGTCATTGAACCTTTGTGGGCCCTCATAGTCATTCATGAGCCAAAGATAAGGGTTCCCTCTAAGGGGAAGCTTCAGGCGTGAGATCGCAAGGCTTGCTGAGATTGCCATCTGGCCAGGCCCTTTCATAGTCGCTTGTTGGTGGCTGGTCTTACACAAAGAGAAAGGCAACATGGACAACACCGGTTTCAAGGGTTCCACCCCCTCGATTCAACCTTTGTCAATGCGCAAAGGGGCAAAAGAAAAGGACACATTTCACTTTGACATGGCTGGCGGCGGACTGTTATACTTGTGCGTCAAGTAATACCGCACCCAAAGATACATGACTCAATTAGCCCCAGCGGACAAGAAGCCAACTCCAAAAGAAACCCAGGTTGTAGGTCTTCAAAGCACTTCAAAGCAAAGAAACCAAGTCGTTGGATGGCACAGCGTTTCGCTCGAGGTTGCGGCCGCAACATCAAGGAGAAGATCCGGCGCTGGCGGAAAGGGCCGAACGATACGAAGGCGGCGCCAAACCACACCACTAGGGGACCACTATATGGTTGTGGTTGTCCAAACCGTTTTGGATCCCATTTTGGTTGGTAGGTGAATTCACCACCCATATTAGGACCTATTTTAGTGGGGATTGGGATGTTCACTGGGGGTAAGATCTGGATTTTGACCCATGGCCATATGGGGTTGTCTTGTTTGAGTTGCGGACCCAATATTTGGGGTGGGGTTAAGCAAAAATCAAAGGGAAACCGCCCATGTTCGCAGTTCCCCTTGGAAACGCGCCCGTTTCATGGGCCATAGCCTAAAGTGCGCTACACACCCTGGCCAAGACAATCTTATCCCTCTGTAGAGCCCAAATCAGCATATGCCAATACGGGTTCCTACTTTTCGCCAGTGTAAAAACAAAATCAAAGAGCACATGTGTATGCATATCAAAACAGGTTGCTAGCTAAATGCATACATATATATATATATACATACATACATACATACATACACACATACATAGAGAGAGACAGACAGACAGACAGACAGACAGACAGACAGACAGACAGACAGACAGACAGACAGACAGACAGACAGACAGACAGACAGACAGACAGACAGACAGACAGACAGACAGACAGACAGACAGACAGACAGACAGACAGACAGACAGACAGACACAGACAGACAGACAGACAGACAGACAGACAGACAGACAGACAGACAGACAGACAGACAGACAGACAGACAGACAGACAGACAGACAGACAGACAGACAGACAGACAGACAGACATACACACATACACACACATACATACATACATACATACATTCACACGCACATACACACATACAAACTAGCGTGCGTATATAGATAAAACAATTACACATGTGCAGTTCAAGGCATGTAAGAACTTAGGTCTTTTAGGGTGGGTTAGAAGGGAACACATTTAAGGGAAAACCGGGGCCTTGTTTGGGGGGCCCAAGTTTAAGACAACCACATCGATTTTTGGGGACGCTTTTGGGATGGTCAAGAAACGGACGCCGAATGCCTGACACTTGATACTTGATACCATACTCCCTGCGCGCGCAGGAGATTCCTTCGTCCCCACAACATTCTGGAAACCCATCTCTCAAAATGCAACCCTCGCAATGGACCAGTGTGTTTTTGTGGTAATTGGGGCTCGCGCCGCCCATGTCATTGGAATTTTAGATGTTGTCTCCTTGGCTTCTCCAAGCCAGCATCCTGGTTCTCCTGTTCCTCCTTTGGGTATGTGTCCATTTGGGGAGCCCAACAAAATATGGTCGTGTTCCTTGTGGGTTCCCTTGATACCAATGTGAAAAGGGTACTTCACCCAAGCCCTTTCAACCCTGAGCAGTCAGCGTTTTTTCTGGCGAGGCAACTGCGTCAGACTGAGAGCGGCGGCTCCACCTGCGCGCACTTCGCGCACTTCTCAAAAAAACCCTTAGAGATGGCTTGAGCCCCGTTCCCCTCTTTTGTGGATCTGTGCATGCACAAAGAAACCCCCTCTGATTGGCGCCAGAACACAGAAACAGCTGGAGCGGGCCTGGGCTTGCGTCAAGTAAGGCTCGCATCATCGGGCGCCATTTCTTGGCATCTGCTTTGACGTACCTGGTATGATGCGCGCGCAAGCTTCAGCCGTGAGGAATTCATGAACAGAAAGCCCACTAGGATGCCCAGCACAAGCTAAATAGACCCCTCCTTCTCCCGCCTTTGGTGGACACCTAGACTCCCAGCTGGGGCCTCTTGGTTTATGGGCTTTTGACACGAGTCCGAGTGCGCCTCAAAAACTCAAAGGGCAAATCCAATTCCGAAAGGCTTCGTTGAGCACGGAATGCTTTTCACTCGTCAAACTCCACTCTGACTCCTGCGCTGGCCAACGCCGGCAAAACACAATCCCACAATGCAGCGTAGAAGTCATCAGGCTCTCTGGCATCAGTCTGGCGCAAAGCTTTCAGAGCGTCCTTGGACAGCAGCTTGGAAGGCCTGACTGCAACTGGAGACATCATCCATGACTTGGTCATGGACTCCGCCTTCTGACGGTGCCTGTGCAGCACTGCGCTCGGCCCGAGACCAGAGCGCGCCGCCGTTGTCCGGCGGGAGACAAAGAAGCGCAGCTGCCCTTTGCCTCGCTTCCGGAAGTATTCTGACAGGACCTTCAGCAAGAAAGGCCACGACCGTAGAAGCGAAGCAGCGCTGCCTCCACCAAGGGAGCGGTCCGCAGAGGTCGTCCGACAGAGTGCTTCTTCTCCAGGTAGCGCATGATGGAAACCGCTGATTCGCAGATTGCTTCTGACGCAAAGCCCCACACGTGCAATCTGTGAAAAAGCCTCAGCACATGCCAGTAATGTCTGGCTTGCGTGTAACTCTGCTGCACGATCAGACTATGCAGATGCTCATCCCATTTGAGAACCTCTGACTTCTGGAACTTCTCCGCCGCACAGGCGGCGCTCGAAATCCGGACGGCCACATTGCGAAACACAAGGAACTGCTCCTGCAGCTCTGGCTCAGATGGCTGTGCAAACATCTCCTCTGGCGGATTCACCAAATGTCGCACAGCGCCTGGCTGAAGACCCCAAAGGTATGGTCCGAAGGCTCTGGCAAGTTCGCGCAGGGCAGTCTTCCACAGCTCGTCGTGTGTCTGCAGACCATGCAGAAGTTGTCTGGCCAGGAACAAGTACGCAGCGCAACTGGAGAGCTGGCTCCTCTGACCTGGCTTCAAAGACTGACCTTTCGCGACATAGCAGGTGTTGCCGGCAATCATGTTTTGCCATAGACGGCGGTCCGAGGCCTGGCTGCTGGCAATGACAACCTTTTGCCCAACTCGCCTTAGAGAATTGGCTTCGCCTCTCCTAGCAGGCCCGTCTGACACCTCTGGCATGGATGGAAAAGCGAAGAGCGCGCGCGAAGACCCTGCAGCAAGCTGCTGCACGCCAGGGTCTTGCGCCCACTTATCAACTTTCAGCTCCAGCTCTTGCAGCTTTTTCACCTCGCCAGAAGAGCTTGCTCCCTTCGCCTCCTCCGTGCCTGATTCGCTTGATGAGGAGTTGTCGGAGTCGGAGGAGCTGCTGTCTTCAGTCTCAGAGGAGTCTGACCCCGGGCAGTCCAACTCCGGGCCGGCATCACTCTCAGGATCCTTTTGTCTGTGCATGCCTTTATGTGTCAAGAACCATTTTGGCATATTGGCGTCTGGCCACAAGCAGCGACATCGAAAGAAATGCGCCTCTTGCTTGGCCCACTGCTTCACTCTTTCCAGCGCGGCAACGGCTGTCTTGCAAATGTAGGTGCGTGTTTCTGCCTGACAGGGGGTACACAAGATGCGCGTGTGTCAAAGCAACAGGCTCTGCATCAAGCGTAGCGCTGGCACATTTGGAGGGGGCCCGCGACAAGCAATTGGGGGCGAGAAAAGGCTGTGAGGGTGATCTTGCGAAAGATGAGGGGTGTAAAGCTCCTTCCAGCAATCCTCCCTGACCGCACAGTAAACCTAAAATGTGTGCGTCTCAGCCTTTCCCAAGCTTCAGCAAAAAAACAAAAAACAATAGGGCCGGGGGGGGGCAACTTGTGACCCTGTGTGTGTGTGTCAAAGTCCATGGGTTGGGTTGGGGCAATTCGGTCTGGCCCTACAGATCGGCCCCGGCGCCTTCGTCTTGTGCTTGGGCGGTGCTCCGGGCTCCGACAGCGGCCAACGTTCATGTGGGCGAATACCCAAGGAGACTCCTTGAACAGTCCGGTAAAACATGAGCTCAGTCAGAAGTCTGACTGACCGCGGGTATCGTCTCCACGCCAGTCTGACAACCATCCAGCCACTGAACTGCGTGATGCACTGCTGGAAGTAACGCGCGGCCCACCTGTCCGTGTTGTCTGCAATCAGGAAAGACTCCAGCCGGCTCCAAAACCACACTGCGTTCTGTAAAGCTGCAAAAGTAACTCTGTCTTCGGACATGGCGAGGAGGGCCTCCACTGCCAGAGTAAACTTCACATTGTTGGGCATGGCGCTGCTCTGACCGTGGGCAGCAACAGCTAGCAAGTTCTGACGCCTGTGCTCATAATGAAAAGAGCAGAAAATGAGCATTGGGGCGTCTAGCAGGTCACGCCCGAACTGGCGCGCCTCCTTGGCGTCCGCAGTCTTCAGGCCACAAATCTTGCTAGGGTTTTTGGCTTTCCGGCGGGTGTTTTCGATGGCCTCTGTCTGGCAGAAAATCGCGCCGCTGTGCAGAACCGGCAAGTTCTGGAAGAGGTTCTGGCAGGCAGTGGCGCTTGCGCCATTCCATGTCTACACTCACAACAATGAGAATGAAGCTATGCCCTTGCGAGTCACAGAATCATGATCCAATGTTGAGTTAAACACGCAGCTGCCCTCAACATCGTGCGGACAACACGCAGCTTCTCGATTTGTCACCCCAGCAGTCCTTTGGCACTCTGGCTGACGTGTAGGTAACCATCCGGGTTGATGCACAGACCGGAGCCAGCAACCCCACCAAGGGAAGGCCTAGCCTCTTTGAGAGTGCCTGGGCGTGCGGGCTGCTCTGTGGCTGACGCACGAAAGTGCTCAAAGTAATCTCCTCCCCCTATTAATGAATGACCCCCATTAATAATAAATGCAAATCCGGGGCCCGAGACCAGATTTCCACTCCACACAATTGATTTTCCATTGCGCCAATACTACACCAATACTAAAGTCTGGGAATCCTTATTAGGGGGCACTTTTAGCAAGCTTCCAGCCTCACTTTTCAAAAGGTGGGTTCCTCAATTCCCCAAAAGGTTGCTTCCCCAAAAGCTGGCTTCTCAAAAGGTTGGGTTCTTTTGGTGGGTTCCCCCAAAGGTTGTTCTTGACTCTGTTGTCCCTGGCTGTCCCTGACTCCCTGGCTGGCTGCGTTTGTCACCTGGCTGCGGTCTGTAAACAAATAGAATGATACATCAAATTTCCTTATTAAACCGCTTACTTGCGGACCTTACAATTCAATCCATTTCCTCCA